GTGTCATTATTACTGATGAACAAATGCCATCTTGTATCCGCCAACTGGTTTTTTTACGATTTAGTCCATTTAAATGACAGCTTAGCATTGGTTTGAAACTGCCGGACCGGTTTGCTTTTTCTCCTGCAGCAAAGAAAGGTTATTTGAAAATAACACGGCCGAGATACCTTCTGCCTTTCGTCGAGTCACCTTTCAAGCCTCCTTTGAATCTTTGCCAATTGTTTGGTGGTTGTTTTAACGCCGGCGACTTCAGAGTCAATGAGCAGATTGCACTTGTAGCCATGCACACCTTATGGGTCAGAGAACACAACAGAATAGCAGACATTCTCCACCAAATCAACAAACACTGGGATGCGGAGACGGTATATCAAGAAACTAGGAAAATCGTAGGAGCCATGCTTCAACACATCACATATAACCACTATTTGCCCAAGATATTAGGTGACCATGCCTTACCACCTTATCACGGATACACTAATGTACACCCCGGTGTCCTTAACGCCTTTGCAACGTCAGCATTTAGATTCGGTCATAGTATGGTCAGACCAAAATTTGCTATGCTTGATGCTAACTTTGACCCTGTTGCCCCGGATGTGCCGCTTATCAATGCGTTTTTCAACAACAAGCTGGTACAGAGAGAAGGTATTGAACCCGTGCTGCTTGGACTTCTAGCCAACGAATCACAAGGTACAAACCGTGAGATGGCTGCAGGACTAACAAAGCACCTCTTCCAGCAGCCGGAATCGGAGCACGGGTTTGATTTAGCGGCGCTAAATATCCAACGAGGTCGCGATCATGGTCTCCCAGGTTACGGAGCGTGGAGACGCGAGTGCAATCTTTCCCATGCGGACATCTTTCAAGAAACGAGTTACGAAATCAAAAACGCTACATCGCGACAGATTCTGCATGACTTATATGAAGATGTGGAATATGCCGACTTGTGGGTGGCGGGTTTGGCTGAAGACTCCCTCCCTGGGGCAATAGTTGGTCCTACTTTGCACTGTATTATAAAGGAACAATTTCGTCGACTGCGGGATGGTGATCGCTTCTGGTTTGAAAACAAAGGCCTTTTTACTGAAGAGCAATTTGACGAGATAATTAAAACTTCACTATCGCGAGTACTATGCGACAACGTGTTCGGAATCGTATCTGTTCAGCGAGATGCTTTCATTGCCGCCACAGATGAACTGAAACGGGTTGAGTGCACTCAGATTCCTGGTTTGGACTTAAGTAAATGGGAGCAAAATCTACCCTCTCCTGCTGAAACATGTAAGATTTTGTTTTATTCTTATTATTATTTGAAAGGAACAAAGGCAGAATGGCCTGTTACTAGTGAAATGATAATATTTCACAGATGAGTATAAAAAATGCCGGAGAAATGTGAAAACGCAGCTTTATTTCTGCGGCTAGGCCTACCATCCACACTAATCCATCACGAAACCGGCGCTTTTCGAAAACGCTTTTCAAACCGGTGGAATTTCAAAACACCGGCTTTTCGTTTTCGTGTGCACGCAAACGTTTTAAAAACGGAGCTTTTCGAAAAAGATGACGTCACGACAATCATGTGATTTCCCTGTCCGAGGTTTCCTCAAACACGAATCTAAAATGACCTGTGATTGTTGCGTTTACAAATGCCTCTGGCGTAGTGTGGAAGGAGAACATTTGACGAGTTTTCAAATTTCTCCAACGTAGTGTGGACGGGTCCTTATATTACTCAATGTAATGCTGGAAGCAAACCAGTCTTTATAACACTTTTTACATAGCTTTGAAGTGGTTGTTCAAGGGATGCATAACGCTATCCAGGGGATTAAAATAACCACCATCCAGAAGATAAGTGTTGGAAAACAAGCCACGCAATCCACTGGATAGTGATTTATCCAGTGGATAGCGTTAACCACCTCTGAACAAATGACTCAGATGGCTTTTTCTAGTTGACTGAATAAAACCTACGTTTTCACACTGAATACAAATTTATATGTATAGTATGGAAAATGATTTGCTGAAGTTGTGGCAAGAAGGTTTAATATACTGTGTTACTTTGTTTAGCAGTTGGAACGTGGTCTGACTGGGCATATACCGTGAAGAAACCGACAGGCAGCTGGGCTGTTTCCATAGCAGGTGACATGTGTCCCAGCTCCGTGATGGATATAGAATGCCAGCTTGCAGATGGCTCGTCAACTCAGTTGACAGGCCAGGTGATCCACTGTAAAGAACGAGTTGGAGTGTATTGTAGAAACAGCGAACAAACCAGAGACAGCGAGATCTGTGCTGATTATCGCTTCCGATTTCTGTGTGCCCGTATAGAGAAACCTAGTGAGTATTTCTTTTTTTTTTTCTAATCAGGTTTTCGTTAAGTAATATAAATAGAGCAAGTTTTTTTAGTCATCAGTGGTTCCCATTTTTCTTGTTTGGCTTGCTTTTCAGTTTCTCAAGGACTAAGGCCTCTTGAATCGACACTCTCTCAAACGAAACCGCAAACACAATGCGACATTGGTAAGTTGTGACAACAACAACAACAACAAAAATATTGACACTCTATTCAATTTTTCTATTATTATTACCATTACCATTGTCATGACCATTGCCATCGCCATTACCATTGCCACTGAGCGGCCAAAGAAATCTAGCGGCCTGGATTTGTTTGCCATTGCCGTTTACTGCTATCGCAAAACACTTTATTGTTGTAAAATGCTGACAGGGAGCGTTCTTAATGTGTGTCTAGGGAGATATCCAAGCGACTTCCCCTTAACGTTTGAAGCCCTTCAGCACATTACTATTGCCGACGCCTACAACAACGAACCGAATAGTGAGCACATGCAAGCAGGCAAGAACAAGGGAGAGTCTAAGAAGCGTTTTCTGATCTCTTTCGATACAAAGAAGATCACAAGACGTGCGATTGTTCATTCTGCCAAACTGTACCTTTTTCTCATGGACTTTGGAGTCAGCTCTGTGGAAGATGAAGCAGCGAGATCGCCTTCGAATTCTTTAGAGGTTTATCAGATCATAAGCACGGACTGGTATCCAGGGAATACCACCAGCGTGATACCATGGCATCAAGATTATTTAGGAATAGGAAAAGATGTAGCAAACAATAGGTATGTATAATTTAATGTATGAATACGTCATCTTTGATCTGTTTAAATGCAGTCAGAGGTTTTCTGTCAAGGAAACAAGTATTCCTTGAGGAATGGAAAACAACTGAATNAAACAAGAGTTGG